TACATACACACACACACACACACACACACACACATATATATATATATATAGGGAGCGGTTCCGGTAAGAACAGATCTTAGGAGAAAAATGAGAACAAATCTGGACCGTTGAATTGTATTACGTGGAACCAAATTGTGCATTTGGTGAAACTGAAATGTGCATTAAATGATATTGAAATGTGCAAAATAAAAATTTAAACTCAAGTGTGCATTAGATGAAACTGATATGTGCGGGAAAAAAGTACAAAAATAACATCACATCGTACTTTTTATTCTGCACATTTCAGCTTCAACTAGTGCACATTTCAATTTCACGTAATGCACAATTCAACTGCACATAATGTCACTCTATCGTACCCTTTGTGATGCACATTTCAATTTCACCTAATGCACATTACAGTTTCATCTAATGCACACTGAATTCACTTGAAGCAAATCTAATGGTCCAGATTCGTTTTCATTTCTCTCATAAGATCGTGTTCTTATTTGAACCAAAACCTATATATGCGCAAAATGCCCAGTATGTTTCAAGAAATTATTTGACTGCCTTCCCGGTCGAATTTTGAGCTAGAATTTGGTATGGATAAACTAGACTTGATGAGAAACATGCTCAAAAAATTTCATCAAAAAATTCTAGCGTGAAGGCCCCAAAATGGGAAGGCCGCACGGGGCTTCCGGTCAGGCCTTCCTGACTCGAACGGGACTCTCTCTCTCTCTCTCTCTCTATATATATATATATATATATATATATATATGTTATATATATATAAGAAGAAGAAGAAGAAGAGGAAGAGGATGAGGTAGAGGAAGAGGAAGAGGAAGAGGAATAGGAAGAGGAAGAGGAAGAGGAAGAGGAAGAAGCATGTATTTAAGAACGGAGAATGAGGGTGGGATTACATAGGGTTTCAATCTAGCGGTGGTGTCCAGAGTGGTGGCTGATAAACCCGTTCGTGCTATTTCTTTCTGCCAAACAATGGTTGTGGTTTGGCGACCAGTGAAAGGGGTCTCTATTGATGAAATCGAGGATTCAAAATTCTTGTTACAGTTTTATCATGAAGAAGACCTGAACAAAGTTGTTGATGAAGGGCCTTAGTCCTTTGAGCAAAATCTGGTGGTTATCAAACGGTTGGGGCGTACTGATAAGCCTCTGGAAGTTACACTGGACCATGCAGACTTTTGGGTTCAGGTACATGATCTACCGTTAAGTTACATAACAACAGAGGTAGCCCGTGGCATAGCCAATAGCATCGGATGATTTGTGCAAATAGGTGAGATCTCTCCTGGTGAAAAGCAAAAGTTGGTTATGCGCATAAGGGTCACTCTGAACATTACCATGACTTTAAGCTGAAGTTTACAGGTTAGACAAGAGGTGGATAGCTGGACTTGGGCAAACTTTTTATATGAGAGACTCCCGAACTTTTGCTTTCTGTGCGTGATTCTTGGTCATGCTGACCGATTTTGTCCCTCTAACCCACATAGCGGTTTAGGGATCAGGGAGAAACCCTATGGGCCATGGCTTCGGGACGATATGAGGCGGGGAGGAGTGCACCCGGAAAACAGATGGCTTAGTCATAGCAATAACAAACCGGGTGATAGGCGGGAAGAAAAAGTAATGTCTGACAAAAAGACAAAGGAACATGAAAGCTATTTGGTGGAAGGACTCTTGTCAAAGGGTAAGGAGATCGCTACAATCGAGGATGCGCCCAGGAAGCGTAGGATCACTGAGAATGATATCGAGGTGGGCATACAGGCGAGCATGGATGCAGATGACGAATCTTAAAAAAACTTGGAAGTGGCTGGTAACAGGAGAGTGTGAGGATAAGAAGGATGTTCCTTTAGCGGAGGCTAGTCAAACCGCTACTCCCTTGCCAGTGGTTGGTCAAACTGGATTATGTTACTTTTCTGTTTCTTCATCAGTTCTGAACTCTGTTTTGTTTTTCATTCTCCTTCCAGTAGCAGGTGCAACATTGCTCTTTATGGAGTCTACCAAGTTGCGGGGTTCGCAAGATGGTCCGCGTGATGGAGTCTTTATGATAAGCGTGAATCTAGCTCTGAGTCTCACCCCAGTGTAGCCTTTGTTATGGCGAATTTGTATCTGGTCCTCAGTTTTATTAATAATTTAGTTATTTGTTCTAAAAAAAATACATGCACTTATATATATCTGAAACCTCTCTTGGTATGCATATTTCAGTTTAAATCCCACATCAACAACCTGATCAATTCAAGTTTGTTTGAAAATAGAAGAGGTTGAAGGTGTATAAATATGATAAGTGATTTTAGTGAGTTGTAGTGTAGAGGAGATGTTTTAGAGTCGAGCTATTGTTTCCAGAAAAATTGTATTGTATTGATGTTGCTTGGTTTTTCTTGGTGAGCAAATGAGTACAATGAGTCTTATTTATAGGAGTTAGAGGATCATTCTAGATCCTTATTAAATGCTAGGAATCTAGAGTATTCTACAACTATGTTTTACTACTCTAGATTTTACTCTAGAATTCTCTAGAATATTTTTAGCTATAGTTTTCTACAACATTTCTAGCCTTTTCTACATAGAAAATTCTAGATAAATGCATCACTATTTAATAAAGTTGCTTCAATTAACAGAAGCATATTTAATTTGAGATCATGTATGGCTTTATTGTATGGCTTTATTGTCCTGATGACAAATGTATAGAAAAGGACACTGACTACAAGCTTAGGTTGAATACAAATTTACTATGACTTTGATTTTGTTTAATCATTAAGCTATCCCTAGCAATTCTTTTCAAACTGAGGGGAATACCTGATCCAGTTAAATTGGAGAAGCATTTGTGTTCCATATTTTCCTTCCTCCAAGTACCATGACCCCATGTCCCTTTTCTTAAGAAGAGTGAGTTGAGAGAGAAGATAACTTTGAGGAGCTTTAAGAAGCCGAATTTTGTGTGATGTAAGTACACTATCTTTTCAGTATGAATAATATCATAAGCTTAAATATAGAAAAAAGAAATTCAGAAGTGCAATATATAGTTTCAAATTGGAAGCAAAAGCCCTGAAGTGACAAAAAACATACCTAATGTTGTCTCATATAAGATTCTCAACTCCCATATAGCCATATAGGATCAATAATCCTATCAACATATAGCTTAACCATCTAAATACATATGGAGTATTTTAAGAAAACGTCTCTTGAGCAATTCCTACATTTGGAAGAAGAATAAAAGATTCATATCTTTTACGTCAACAAAATTGTTAAAGGCGTCATCATTATCATTACCCTAGTGTCGCATAGACTACCACCTACTGTGGGGTAAGGGTGGTTGGATGTCCAGTTCCAAAGTCTGGTAGCAATAAGGAGAGAAGCAGATCAATTGCAATCAGGGATAGGCTAACGATAATGGATATGAAGGGCCTCTCGATCCACTTACTATTTTAGTTACTTTTTTGTCCAGATTAGAATTATGTCCCATTTTTGTCCATTTAAGGATGAATATCATTGTACCTTTTTTTGGATAGTATGATTTGTTTGATCTGGTCTGCTTATGTCTAGTTTGGTTTGAACTAGTCTGATATGCTCTGGTCTATATGTATTTTATAACTGTCGAATTATGATCTATTTAAATCTGATTTGTTTTGTTTTAATCTAATTTGACCTGATTTGAAACTAACAACTGTCTAAATAAAAACATCTTAAAAAATCATAACAACACTAAAAATTCATAATACTAAGTACCCCGAGTAATATTTTTTTTCATTGTTTCATAAAAATATTTACCAGACTCTAGAGCTTTAAAAAAAATCTCATTTTTTATAATGAATGTGTAAAAATAATCTCGTCACTCAAAGGTTTTGAGAGAGATGGCCTTTCCCTCGAGTTAGGGTTTTATATCCGCCACCACCCAACATAGGCAACGTGCGGCCAGTGTTATCAGTTCTGCGAAGGCTTGGGATTATATCGAACGCAACTCTAAATTCAACAGCTCCAATCAACAAGAATGTATTATGGAGTCCATTATTCACCAATATGACAATTTGGATATTGGGGGTGGAAGAAGAACTGGTCTTCGAGGAAGGAATCGACAACGAAGGGACGCTGGACGAGTCGAGTGGCGATGTCATGGAGCTGTACGAGCCATAAAAAAAAGAGGAGGCGGGTGCTGGATACAAGGCCCACAGGAATTTCTGAGAAAGTTTTGGGGAAATTACCATAAATTACCATAAATAGGACTAAAAACGTTTGTAAATTCCAAAATAGGACTGTCATGTTTTTATTCCCAAAATAGGACTAATTACTGTCATGTTTTGGTAGTACTAGACTTTAAACATGATATTAATTTCTTCAATTTCGGGAATAAAAACATGAGAATCATATTTTGGAATTTACAAATGTTTTTACTTCTATTTCAGCAATTTTCTCAAGGTTTTATACCTAGGAAGGACAACTAAAGCTTCTCATGATTCGAGGGAAGCAGCTAAAATTCTATAGTTATTTTCTTGCTTTTGTTTCTTGCTTTGGTCATATTGTTCTTATTTTTGTCATTTGTTTTTCATTGTGTCGGGCTTTTGAGTTTAAATTGGTGATTTGAGAAGTCTGTTTTGACGGCCTTTAGTTCTGTTATGCCCATTATAGGATCAATGAGTCATATTGATTTCCGAAAGGTGATTGACTCTAAATCTGATTCAAATAATGGCGATTGGAAGTGAACTTTTTGTCTTGATGTTCCTCGTGTGAATTGTGTTATATTAATATAAACCACCTTTTTCCAAACATATTATTCTCATCATATCTTTTACGGAGTATTTATTACAAATTGTCAAGTGATCCTCCTGTTTTGAATATAATTCCACTTTTGATCCTACGCGTTTTAGGTAAATTCCACATTTAGTCCACATCTTTCACTTTGTCCACTTTTGATACATGACTATTGCGTTTTCGCTCATATATGATTCTTCCGCCATTATTATTTTTGATAATTAAAATCGTCAGAAAAGACCACAAACCATTAAAAAAAGTGGAATTCTTGTTATTTCCCTTTTGTTAATTTGGCCCGATGTAACTTAGATGTAACTATGTAACCTGCCGGCTCATAGCAAAGCTCTGTTTCAGTTGGATTGAGTTCACATGTCGGGACGGAATTATCTATCGCGAGATGCGTTCATCCTCAGGAAGGGGGAGCGTCATCCAATTTCAATTGCCGATCATCGGGTTATTCACCGCCTCCCGCATCATGAAGCCCAACCCCGGCTCCACCCTGCCGCCGTATTAGAGGACCATATCGCTGTCCAGCACCGGCAAATTCAAACCCTCCTCCTCGAGAACCAGCGCTTCGCCACTACTCACGTCTCCCTCAAGCGGCAGCTTTCCGACGTCCAGCAGGATCTCCAGCACTTAACTGCAACCGCATCCACCATCAAGGATGAGTGCGACGTTGAGGTGCGTCAAGTATATGAGAATTCAATAAGAACAAATGCAGAGATTCGCGGCATAGATGGAGTCTGCGCTGAGCTCGCGCAAGTAAACGATGATATCAAGAAAATGAGTGGTGACTGTGAAGAGCTCACTGCAAAGTTGAAGGAAATTGAGGATGAGCTCGCGAAGGTTCGGCCGGAGTTGAAGCAGGTCAAGGCAATTAAAACTGAAATTGCCACTATGCAGAAGGGAATCCAAAAAGGAAGGTATTGCAGTAGTATGTTTGCATATTGCCTTGCTCCATTTGTGATTGTATATCTAACTATGACGTATTCAAATGCTGAGAGGTACAAAAATAGTTGAATCCATTGATGCTTAGTAATTGTTGAAAAGATTGTTTTGGCAACAGCATAACCACATCCTATGTAATTATTGTAATTATAAGTGTTCGAGCAAAAGTGGTGTCTGATCCTTTGGAATTAAGAAGTTTGCAATTTTAGATAAGAACAAAATGGGGCTTTGAGAACAATGCTGCAATTTCGTCATTTTTCCCAAAATAATTGCTTGTTATCCTTTTCAGGCTTTCCCAATATAACTGTCTTAAAAATACTCCGTATGTGTTTCACTTTCATATCATTGAAACTTTTTCTACTCAAATCTCAACCACATCTTTCAAGTTTTCAACTATTTTACTAAACAAGGCAATTATTTTGTAATGAAGGTAGTGTTTGAGAGTGTTCGATAAACTAGTTGTTTGCAAACATTTTTGGTAAGCTAGAAGGAAAAATGGGTTTGGTAGAGGACATTTTGGTTCAAAAATTATATAACACCAAATGCACAAATGAAGAAACTATAAATTTTGCATTTTGTGAATGTTTATAGTCTCACCAAAATGTCTCCCAAATCCCATTGCTTTGCAATTAGTTTTTTGGGAGCTAAAATGCTCTGGCAAACACACCCTCTAGGGTTCTTGCTTTACCGTGCCACCTTGTCAAAATGAATTTATATCAAGTTATCAACTCTATTTCTTTGTAATGAAATTTAAAGAATTCTTAATAGTATATTCTCACCTGAACAAGGGCAGGGCTGCTGTTGAATATGAAAAGAAGATGCAAACCATTAATCAAGAACAGAGTCAAATACTGGAGAAAAATCTGAACTCTATGAATAATGATATTGAAAACTTGCGTGCTGAAGTAGCTGATGCAGAGAACAGGGCAAGGGCGGTTGCTGCTCTAGCAACACCAAGTATGTCCAACTCAATATGTCTGTCCTCCCCTCTTGCAACTCACTGAGTACAAGTTGTTGACTTTTTTATATTTCTTCAGGCCCTGCATATCCAACAGGTTATGGTGGAGCTCCTCCTGCAACTGGTTATGGTGGAAACATGTACCCCAACCCTTATGCTGTACAGCAGGTTCATGTTCCATCTATGTGATCTTTCATTTTGATATCAACACTGTCGCTATGATGATATTAAAATACCACAAAAGGGTATTTAGAATCTGTTTCTTTCTTAGCGCTAAAACATGCTTGCTCTGTTTTTTATTTGATAAAGTAGATTTGGGTTTGAAAACGAAAAGTAAAATAGTAGGGGTGGATGGGTGGAATAGGAGGGAAAGGTGCACAAGTAAAAAAAGTAAGAAAATTTAGATGAAATGTAAAGGTAATAAGGTATTTATGTATTTTTGGTATGAAAACTTAGGAAGTTGGAGCAAAATAATAATTCAGCTAAAAGGAATACACATAAAGTAAAAGCACTGGACTATGGTTTTAAGAAATTGGTCAAAATAGGAGTAAAACATGAAGAACCTTCAAAAATAGACTAACTGTGTTTTATTCCCAAAAAAAGACTTATTAGGTCTATTGAAATAAGAAAAAGATAAAACATTCCAAAATAATGAAGATGCTACATTTTTGCTCCTGTTTATAATGACTGGGTCTATTGGGAAGAAAACAATGAAACTCCGATTTGAGGGAAGATGCTACATTTTACTCCTATTTAAGGAATTTTCTCTGATATTTTCTTTAAATAACACTTGCAAACATAGGACATAAATCATTAGCAAAATCATTAGCAATAGTGATAATTATAATGCAAGGTATATATAAAGAGAATTGCCACTGCAGCCAAATGGCGGCCACAGTCCACCACTCTTCACTCCCACTGTTTACCATCGCTTTCTTTTACCACGACGACAACACTTACTTGAACTCCCATTGACCGTTTCCATGACTCCATCGCACTGTCTTCTCCCGTCATCTTGTCAATGACATCTGCTGCAACAACAGTGCAACACCGACCCCACCATTGACTTCATGAGTCATGACTACTCATAGGCTCCCATTGGTGTTGCTACTTGCTACTCAGGAATACCAACCATGTCATATTTCTCAATGTATTGCCCAATAAGACCATCTTTTTTACAATTTTGGGTTGAAATCAACGTCACTCATTTAGGAACCTGATTATCATGAATATTGAACTCTGCTGTACATAAAAATTACATTAAAGTACTTCACTTCCTCACTCTCCCTCCCTCTTTTATTCCTTCAAAATCTGCGGTATTTGTAGGAGCTTCATATGCTCCTTCAAACTCTTCTTTCCACAGACTCCACATAGGTAATATGGAGCTTTTATTTCTAGTCAGATCACAATGGAGGCACTGCAAGTTAAATAAATGAGCAAAAGTTCACGATAGGCTCCATCTCATCTGTGTGAAAGATTTTTTTCCCACCTTCAAGTGTAGCTTTAGTTTCATTCCCAACATTCACCCAATATTATTCAGAGGAACCTCACCATTTACCTTTTATTATTGTTACTAATATCAATTGATATTTGCCCTTCTTCGGGCTTAAGCGGGGGAGGAATGAGAATCTGACTTAGATCGAGTACACAGCGTGTTAAATAAGGGAAATGGCATAACACTTGCTTGTTAATGATTGTAGGCATTATGTTTTTATGTCAAATTGGACCTTTTTTGGCGGTTTGCTAAGTTGAAATGTAATAATAATCATTGTAATAATAATAATATACTCCCTGCATTCTTTTTTAGTTGCAATATGTCCGTTTTCACATTTGCCAATGCATAACTGATCATTAATATATTTCATTCCCTTTTAGTAAAACATTTGTTTGGATTTCAAAAATTTATAAGGAGAGGAATTTAAACAATATTTTTCAAAAATTAAATTTCTAACGCATTAATAAATAAAATGTAGTCAAAGTAGAGCATGTGAATAGTGTAAGATTCAACATGTTGCAACTGTTGAATTTTAAAATTCTAACATTTTTAAAGATAGTCACAGACTCACAGAGGATCTTTAGGGCTTGAGTAGGGATGGCAACAAAGCGGGTATGGGGGCTGGGGTTGACTCCCCATCCCCGCCCAATGTCAAAAAGTCCCCCCTGCCCCACCTCCATTATGCCTACGCCTAGCCCTGCCCCCTGCCTCCACCCCACCCCGCCCAACGCCCCCACCCCATTGTCTCCTGCGGGTGCCCGTATAAATTTTATTTATCTTATTAGCATATTTTTGAATCCACTGTATACACAGATTACACGCACATATATCATTAGTACTAAAAGAGTTGTACTGTACTAGATAATGTTGTGTGCAATAAAAGGCTAAAAGCTAATACTATCAATTTCAATTATTCTTTAATTTGAATAAGATCTAAGAAAACAAAAGTAAAAACATAAGTAAACATATTACATATTATCATCATACATATGGCTCCAATTTTATCATCATATATAACATATACTTAATTATATGTGTGTGTGTTCTTTACGCTCACTTTCTCAAATTTAAAATCTATCCAACGCTTATGATAAATATTACTCCCGATAAGTTATTAGTTATTACTATTACATATATTATTTCATTAACTATGTACACTAATACACATACATGTGTGTATGTATATGGATTATGTATATCTACGTTTATGTGTTTATTATATATAGTATAACTATAACTATAACTATAACTATAACTATATATATGTTTATATGTTATTTATAATATATAAATATGTTGTGTGTGTATATAAAATGGGGGCGGGGCGGGTTTATCATTCCCTGTCACCTGCCCCATGTTTTAGTGGGGTAGGAATATCTCACCCAAAGCCTGCGGGCCCCTGCCTCCATTGCCATCCTTAGTCACGAGTTTTGACTTCTGTATCACGGAGTCACCCGTTGTTAAAATATAATCACACTTCTGTAGTCCATGCGAGTTGTTTCATTTGAGACTGATCTCATCATCACCTCCCTCAGTATGCTACTAGTTTTAAGAACAAAGACTGTTGTATCCCTCTTATCACTTTTAATTTGCTAGATATTTATTATGACAGTACTTGAAAGCATGGGGATTACAATAATGTGTATGAACAAACATAAGGTTTCTAACACATGCTATAATAGATTAACTCGGCTAGAGTTCCACATCAGAAAATCAGACATATGGGTGCACAAGATTTTGCTTCGCTTAGCCAATAGTCTGGATTCAATCTTTAATGACATTTAGACTAAAACTTTATGGCCTGATTGATTGGTCTTAAACGCAATCCTGAATTATGACTGCGCTATACTACGTATTTATAGCAGCTTTTCTGTTAAGCACTTGTAAGGAATTTAATTAGCACACTGCTTTTGGACGATTGAAATGAATATTTAACTCCAGCTACTCATATTCACCCTCCTCTTTTTCATAATTATTCAGGTTCACCGTGAGGCTGGCAGTGGATATGGTGGAGTACATTACAACCCATACCCTCCCTTATGATACACAACAACCCACATTTTAGAGATAGGTTGTTGCTGGATGAGTTGCACTTGAGATGGATTATTTCTTGGGAAGAGCATCATGGCCTCAAAGGAATAGAAGCACAGCAAATGGAACATTGTTAATGTAGTCCCCTGCCAAACCGCGCAAAAAATCACCAAAAACCCTAAAAGACGAAGTTAACCTGGGTAAGTAGCAAGCACTATAGGACCCAGCATTGTTTGCTTTATCATCTGTTTATCAACTTCATGTTCCCGCTTCTTCATGTGCTCTTTTACGGAAGAAACACTTAGCAACTACTAGAAATGCCCCCCCCCCCCAACCCCAACCAACCTCCCCTGCTAAAAAACCCAACAAAAACAGAATAAGCAATTTGTGTTGTTTGAAGTTGATTAGATTTAGGAGGTAGATGATCACATGTACCTTACATTTCTTAAACAAGTATTCTTTTTACCCCTTTAGTTGAGCTTGCATGAACATGTTGTCATGTTCTATATATTTACTCTTAATAACATAGACCCGTTTCGTAAGAGTTACGTTGTATTTAATTAAAATGGTTGAATCTGGTTTATTGATATTTGATCAGCTAAATTCATTTTTGCCGATCAAGTAAAAAAGTTTTTGTTCTTAATGGTACTCCGTGTTTTATTTAAAACAATAAAATGCCACTAAGATATGTGTTTTCTGGGTTCTTTATTACGTAGTACTAGATTGAGGAATTGAGCTTATTATTCCTCTTCATCTTTGGTTTGACGGTTCTAATAAAATAACCAAAATATGGTAATTGCCTGCAAAGTTATTTCTTATCTCTTACAAAAAATTAGAGAAAATGGTCAATTAAGTACATGAAGTTGGGAGCCGTGGAGTAAAGAGTACATAAGTTTGCAATTCAACCGTAAAGGTGCTTGTACTCAATTATATAAAAAATTCAGTAAAAAGTACATCAGTTTGCAATTCAAACGTAAAGGTGCTTGTACATCTGTTTGCCACTCTTAGTTCGTTCCTTTAGGCCCAAGCCACGCGTCGTCGTCATCTAGGTTGTCACTGTCCGGGGCTCCATCGTGTGCTGTCAGGTGAAGCTCACCAGCTGCTGCAGACTCTCGCCACCAGCTCTGGAGGGTCATCAGCCCATCGCCGTAGCAGGAGTGATGAAATGGGCTGAGAACTTCATATGTGCAGCTCAAAGGCCAGTTTCGAAGGGAGTCTGATTTTTTCCCAAGCTCCACCAGTAAGGGCCGCTAGACAGCTTCACTCACAGCACAAGCAGCGGCGGCATGGGGTCCCGCTCTTCTACGCTCCTCCAGAGACACAAGCCAAAGGCCATTGCGGCAGAACCAGTAGCCGCTAGGGCTTACTTCATACACACGAGGCAGCCTGGTCACACCTGGTTTTTTACACAAATTCCGAGGATGGGAGGATGGAAGAAAACGGCTCTTAACTAAATATGCAATTTAATGTACCATTGTGTTTCCTCAAAAAAATTATCACTATGTACTTATTTTATAACACACTCTGCAACTTCATATACTTAACTGGCCTTTTCCTCCATAAAACTATCACTTTGTACTTAATTATAACCACAAGTCGTCAATTGTAGTGTTAAACATGATAGTATATGATATTCATTTAAAAAATCAAATATGAACGCTTGATTACCCCCCAATCAGATGATCCCACTAATCAAAAGAAAACAACAGACTACCAATAGCTTTATTTATTTTGTAATTTAAAAAGAAAAAGAACTTTCATGAATGCATTTGATCAATTCAACAATGACGAATCCAGTAGCGGTTTATTGGTTGACACATTTGATCAGAAAACGAACATTCCCTGTTTGAAATTGTTGTGTGTACTAATATTCTGCATGCAAATGAAATAATAAATAAATAAATACTTTAATTAAGGAAAAACGTAAGATTACTTGTAACCGAGCCCAACGTAAAAGTTGTTTTCTTAATACGTTTTTGCCCGACACACGTAGCAAGCGTCTTCCAGGATAGAACGGTTCTTCGCTCCCAACGGAATTTCGGCGAACTCAAATATGCAATGAAGGAAGACAGAATATGGAGGATTGTGTGATGATTTTCGGATTATCCAAAATTGAAGACAAGGCGGGTATTTAACTATTTATAGAGCTCTGATCAGGAGTCTCTAACCCAAAAGACACCTTTTAAAAGAAAGTTCATGACCTTTCTTTTAAAACGAATGGTTGTGTCTTATATTTGGTTTTATCCGAAAAACGTAGATAAAAATAAATCTTCCTATCTTAATCCCGATTGTTGACTCATCAAAGACCCGAACCCAACCCGACCGACGGCGGCGACAATGTATGCGTGTTAAATATAATTTCACACTTATCTTTTGGGGAATAATTTCTCATTCATTTCAAAATGGTTTTTACAAATAATATTAATAAATATAATATTAATTTGTAAATCCATTTTCCAACAATCCCCCCACATGAATGGGAAATTGGTTTAAGGACAGGAAACATATTGGAATTTGACATGGGAAGATGGGAACTCTGCATAGAGTTAAGTAGTCGTGAAACTTTGAACCTACCTTAGTGTATATTTATCGGATTTACCGGCCAATCAATATCCATTTCTGCCTTGAACTGTCAGTTTTAGCGTAAACCTAGACAATGAATAACACACAGAGCCCCGAGTGCATCTTTGGTTCTCATGTTTGTGTTCGTTTCGGCCTTGAACACCTCCTAGTTCAGTTAGTGTTTTAGAGAGTATATCATGCACCAGAGAATTTATCTCGTACCATAGACTCTCATAGAAGCGGCCTTCTTCCACCAGCATAGGAGATCTATATGGAAAATATCATGTCATACCTTACTTGAACGTATCAAGATATAGAGATCATTAAAAGCGTAACTTACCCTAAGTGTTAATGGCATGAGTGTACTATATCTTGGCTAGTACTGCCCGAGCCAGTTTACATTTGTGTTTTCCCTTTGAACCTAACTAGTTATCTCACCCGTGCGTTGCACGGGAGTAAACTGTCATTTAGATAAAATTACACAAATATTATAAAAAATTGATAGTGAGTATTTAAGTGAAAAAACTAAATAAAATCAAGAATAAGATGTCATTGTAAGAGCAAACTAAAAAATAGTCATTAATAATAAAGTGTAAGCGACAAAAGCTGTTGTGTTAGAAGTTATTATATATGTGTTTAGTTTAGAAGTAAACTTTACAATACTAAAAAAAGGTAAAGTTTACTTCTGATTTTTTTTTTATGAAAAGAAACTTATATCTAGTATTACGTATTCCGTTATTTTATCATCACCCCACTATTTTTTCTCATCTTTCATCTCTATGTTTATGATAAGAAAGCTAGGAAGTACCGTAGTGTCACTGACATTTTCTTCGGAAAAAAGAGAGAAGAAAAACATAAGTCTACATTTGTCAATTTCATCCATCAAAAAGATGCTTATATAGCAATGGAAGTGGTGAATGTAATGAACAGTGTGGGTTCCCCTATTTATACAGTTCATGATAAGTTCATTTTGAATATTGTGAATTGTTATATATTGCCCAAAATCTACTTAAATACGAAGTATGTATTTTTAATGAATTGCTTCAAACTTCAAACGCATACCTACTTTAAATTCAACATCAACCCTAAAATTTATTTCCTTAACATGCATCACTTTGATGTTCCCAAAGATATGGATGAATTGAAATTCTTTTCCTTAACATACATCACTTTGATGTTTAGAAGATATTTCACTTTGATGAATTGAAATTCTTTTCCTTACCACTTGTGTACCGGTGTACAATTTTGACTTCTCAAAATGGGATCGGGTCAATTCTAATCCTCCAAACACTCTTTTTGCAAATCAAATACTCCATAACTTGCCCTTCAATGGAAATATCACTCCTACATGGAGAAGGTTAAGGACTAAAAAGTGACATGAATTGTTCAGAATCCACTACTCAAAGAAGTTCACGATCGATCAACCATCTTGTAAACAAACTTTAATTGCTCACATACGGAGATAGTTGTAAATTGTAATACTAATAATAATTTAAGTGCATATATGAAGGGACAGAAAGGTTGACTCTAATCTTGATAAATGCATATGCGGAGCTGCCCTTCCTTGTGGCTAATCTTTATTTTTCAGGGACTTCGCAGGACCAAAGTTCCTTCCTCATAACTCTTTGAGCTTTGAAGCCATAGCTAGAAATCTGCAGCACTTTAGACCATTAAGATTTACCTCAAATCCTTTCATATAGGCTATGAAAGTATTGGAAAATATCAAAATACAATATGTCTTTCAACTTTTCAAGAAAATCGTAAATTACCTTTTAAATAACAGGATAAGCCTAAGATTCAAGTTTGATGTTCTTGGTTGAAATGATTTTCTGCAGAAGAGAATAAAACCTTGGAATATCACTGTTTACATTAACTACAATAATGAAATGGAATAAATGGAAAGGAAGAAAGTGGAAAAAGTTGACTATAGTGCTCTACTGCTTTTATATAGAAGTGTTCACCTTTAGGGTAAGCCAAAAGAACATGGAGCTGCCCTTCCTTGTGGCTAATCTTTATTTTTCAGGGACTTCGCAGGACCAAAGTTCCTTCCTCATAGCTCTTTGAGCTTTGAAGCCATAGCTAGAAATCTGCAGCACTTTAGACCATTAAGATTTACCTCAAATCCTTTCATATAGGCTATGAAAGTATTGGAAAATATCAAAATACAATATGTCTTTCAACTTTTCAAGAAAATCGTAAATTACCTTTTAAATAACAGGATAAGCCTGAGATTCAAGATTGATGTTCTTGGTTGAAATGATTTTCTGCAGAAGAGAATAAAACCTTGGAATATCACTGTTCACATTAACTACAATAATGAAATGGAATAAATGGAAAGGAAGAAAGTGGAAAAAGTTGACTATAGTGCTCTACTGCTCTTATATAGAAGTATTCACCTTTAGGGTAAGCCAAAAGAACATCTCAACTCACCATGGAACATAGATCCAAAAAGACTTTAACTATCTCAACTGGTTTTTGAATCTTCAATTTTATTAATGCTTGAAAAAGATCCAAAAAGTTAATTTCTCCATATTTTAAATGCTCTTAATTCTAAAACCACCTCTTGAAAAGAAACATATAAAGCAATCTCTTTCAAGTAATTTACCCTTTAAAAGATGGAGTATGAAATAGAGGTGGGACAAGGATGATTAACAAAGCAAGTGGAAAAGAAGTAAGAATGAACACTTTAGGTGGGACAAATATAAACCATAAATAAAACTTAAATGCAAAGTAAACTTGACTGATGATATCTATTATTCTTTCATTCTTCTTCAAGGGTTCAGACTGTTCAGTAATAAAGAGTTAGATTTTATCGTGATAAAAACAATTCTATTTTCACCACTCCTATATACCATGTGAGAAAGATGCATATATATGATGATTTGATGCTTATATGAGAAACTTGCCAAAATTATGGTCATGTTTCGGTTACTATACTCAATAAGATCTCAAGCAAATAGTCTTAAATGGAGTATAGACGGACAGCA